TATGTTGGACGTTGATTGAGGTAATCGCTCTTCCAAATGTGATTCAACGGATACTTCGCTAAAGCTAGTCAAAACGGCAGGTGATAGCAAGCGTAAAATCGCGATGTTACTCCCGATAGCATAGAATAAAACGTCCAACATACATCAGGAATACTTATATGAAGTCAAGTCAGGAAGTGAGCTTCTAGTGGCCATAAATTTGAACCAAATCAACAACTAAACTTGTTTGTATTTAGAGGCCTACTCAAAGGAACTGACCGAAGGCGTCAGAAAATGAAAAAGGGTGGGAATTACAGCAACCAAAGATATTGAATGTAACCAGTAATTTGAAGCAACAATTCGAAAGAAACTCGAGCTATTCGATAACCATCGGGATTGGAAGGAATTTGACGCGGGCGATAAACCAAACAAATTCAGCGTATTAAAATGCCTAATGTACTTGTGTAAGATAGACGATTCCAGAATACTGTGAGAGATAGGGCCAAGATCTCGTGTGCATAAGCATGGCATATGAAGCTTCAATCCACTCATCTGCTGAGTCGTGAAAAATCTGCTACGATGCCCCAGTGATCAGAAGTGACTTTCTCACGTAACTAAGCTTACCTCGTCCGAATTCCGTTGCTCAAAAGGGAGAAACGCGCGATTCCTGGATAATTTGTTTCCAGGTTGCCATTTTTTAAATAACCCTCTTGTTTTCGCTCGATGGCTGAATTTTTCATTAAATAAAACCGAATAGGCGAAAACTAAAGTCCATTTAAAAGCCATGCGGTTTGAAGTAGTGTAGTAAATTTGACGCGCAAGTTGTAGTTATGCTTCCGGAAAAGTTTCTCAACCACCATCAAGTTAGTGGTTGGCATGGATGAATTTCGTTTGGCCAAAAGTCAATCATTGTGGCTGAGATAAATGTCAGTAGAATGAAGACTGTAAGTGGGATTTTGAACACACATAAGACTCTGACCAATTTTGATCGCATGATTCGAAAATTCGTGCAACGTCCTGCTTGGTGAAATATTTTGATGTGTTTGCTGTACACATTTTTGACTGGTACTGAAAACGTTCACCTTCTAACTATATCTGTGGCCTC